ATCTATTATATATATATTAATCAAACATACATGCAAGTACATACATACATACATACATACAAACATACATACATCCATACATACATACATACTTCTCTACATACATACATACATACATACATACATGCATGCGTGCATACATGCATACATACATACATACATACATACATACATACATTAATACATACATACATACATACATACATACGTACATATATACATACATACATTCAATCATACTTACATACGTACATACATACATACATACATACAAACATGCATATAATCATACATACATACATTCATACATACATACCAACATACATGTATAAATACATACATACATACATACATACATACATACATACCTGCATACATCCATACATACATACATACCTACATACATACCTACATACATACATAAATACACACCTACGAACATACATAAATGTATAGATACATACAAACATACATACATACATACATACATACATACATACAAGCATACCCACATACACACATACATACATACATACATACATACATACATACACATTTATACATACATACAAGCAAAAATTCATACATACATACAAACATACATACATACCTACATACATAAATACATACATACATACATACATACATACATACATACATACAGACATACATACATACATATGCTACATACACACATACATATATACAAAATACATACATACATACATACATACATACATACATACATACATACATACTTTTATACATACATATAAATATATATATATATATATATATATATACATAAGTACGTGCACACGTACATGCGTAAATACATACATACAGACATACATATATACATACATATATACATATATACATATATCCATCCATACATAAATATATACATACATACATACGTACATACATACATAGGTAAATACATCCATAAATCCAAACATACATACATGCATATATATATACATGCATATATACATAAATATACACCTTCAGACATAAATACATACATACATACATACATACACAAATATTTGCATACAGACATACAGACATACGCACATACATACTTAAGCACATACACACATAAACACATACATTTATACATACATACAAGCACAAAATCATATATATATATACATATGTAATATACATTTATATAATATATATATATATATATATATATATATAT